GTGACTTTCCGGGTAAAATGTGGTCGGCGAGGTAAGCCAAAATTGGTGCATGCCAACAGGCTTTGGCATTATCACAGTCCAGGACCTTTCAGTTGGGACGAAGTGGACCACAGAACAAATGACGCTGCTGAAGACGTGACACCTGAAAAAGCCACCGTCGAAGAAGAAACTCTACTCAGTTTTGAGAAGGGAAACGGTGAAGCTCTTGATGAAGTTACTACCACTGATGTGACTGCTACCGATGATAGGACATTTCCTGATGAAGTAGATGAACCCCCACGTGAAGCAAGAAGCCAACGAGACGGAGACCAGTACGGAAGAAGATACGTCCCGTAAAATTAAGAGACTTTGTTGAATTGTAATTTTGTGTTTCTAATTCTGTACAGTTAATTAAGTTATTGTTAATTGTTATTGGTTTATTGTATGTGGTTATTGTTCGGGATGAACAATATTAAGGAGGGGGCAGTGTTGCGTCATCGAGATCACGTGACTATTCTCACGCCCTCTACTTTCTGGAACTATCCTGTACTTTGGCGAATGCTCTAGCATTTACTAGATATAGGGTAGTCTGATATATAAAAGAGGGTGACAACGTGAATGTAATGTAATGTGTGTGTAGATAGTGAGTAATTGAACTGCAGTCAGAAGTATTGTTGACGTTCGTTGATATAGCATTTGTTATATAGCGATTGTTGAAAATAAGTGTATCGTAAAGTTGTATTCCAAAAGAATAAACCAGTTTTATTAAGTAAGGACTTGTGTCACTAAAGTTTCGTCGGAACGAAGTTACGGAAAGTTAATTAACAAACGGAGACGTAACAACAGCAAAAATACATCAACAGGAGTGAACTAGCTTTATAACTTTGTGAACCATTGCAACTGACATAGTATTAATCTTCCTATTTTCACCTTGTTTTGATTTTTTTAAGTAACTTTCAATTATTTTTTATTTCGTATGATAGACATCTTGTGGAGGTTGATCATATGCACATTTTGCAAAAAGCATTTTATCGCTAAAAATATGTTTTGACACAAATGTTTGTTAAACATAATCTGAAAATTTCGTAGTTGGTGAATGAATCACTAATGTTGATTAGAAACAATAATGCAATTGCTATTTTGTTTTTTTTAACATATGCAGTGATTCCTCTACTGAACTTGAGTTCAATGTATTGATAATTAAATAATGAAAACATTTTTTACTAACACTATGGTTTATTTAAAACATATCATGATTGCAATTAGAAATAGTAAAATACCCAGTTTGCTAATTCATTTATATACATTATTTGAATAGAATAAACATAAAACAATATTCAATAAAGATTTGAGTCCTCAGAACATTTTGTTATAACCTACCTTACTCACTAAACAGTAAACTCAACTAAGCTTATCTTGTTTGATGATTTGATTTATTTAGGTGAACATAATAAAAAAGCTCATGTCAAACATTTAAATGCAAGAAAAACATAATATATCTTAAAAAAATAGAAACTGTAATTTTAGAGCAAGAACCAAACAACAAGATACCTTTATTAAGCCTTAAGCATTATTCATTCATGTGACTTCTTTGTTTCATACTGTATATATATATTCCTGTATTTAGGTAAACTACTTGTACCTGATGATGATAAAACCTTCTCCTAATATAATATATTTGTTACTGTGTTAAACTTCCAACAATGTTTCCCTTGTTATCCATTCAACTTGCTCTAAACTTTATAAGCTTATATTAAGTTATTTGATGTCTTCTCACTGAAGTCGGGTTACGATACCCATGGTGGGCAGAGCACAGATAGCCCATTTTGTAGCTTTGTGCTTAATTCCAAACAAACAAACTCACTGAAGAAAACTTTTGTAGCTTTTAAACAGATATAATACTTTCACAGAGAGAAAAAAAAAACTTGAATCTTTATAAATTTATTTTACTATGACATGATAATATAGAGATAGTCATAATTTTATTTTACAAAATTTGAAAACCTTTAGGTAGTTATAATAATAAAATTAGAAAGTATATTCAGATACCCATCCTGGTGGCTTAGCGAAAAAGCTGAGGGCTTATAATTATAAAAAGTGGGTTTTGATACTCGTGGTAGGTACAACACAGATAGCCCATTGTGTAGTTTTATGCTTAATAACTAACAAAAAACTATTCAGATAATATAGTAATATTTTGTTAACATGTAACAATAATGTTTAACAACTCCACACTAGTTGCAGTAATGTTTAATTTTTATAATAATAATATCATACCAGTTAACTTTTTAAAAGTTAGATATGTAACACTGTAACCAAATTTACAGTATTTTTTACCTAAAAAAAGAGACTTCCACAATGATAATATAGTATTTGAATTAATCAGTGTCAACCATATAGCCCTAAGGTAACTAAATAAGTCAAAGTTAAAATAACATTAATAGTATTTGTAAATGATTAGCTCAAGTTATAACACAGCAATTTCAAAGCTCATATCTTTATTTCTAGCAATAAAGGAATTAAAAACAAACATTTCTAATTTTCTAATTAACATTAAATGGTTATAATCATTTATGATCATATTTATTAAAAATATTATTGTATTCATTCATCTGTTTCTTGTTAAGCACAAAGTTACACAGTAGGCTACCTGTTGTGCCCAAAACAAGTATTGAAACCTAGTTTTTAATGTCATAAGCCATTAGTCTTTCTCCTGACCCATTGAAGGGGTGTTTGTTCATAAACAAGATGTTTGTTTTCAAACAATTTTAAAACGTCTTTACTTGTACAGTCATACCACTTCTTTCTTTTTTTTTTGAATATCAAAAATATGAAAAACAACTTTCTCTTAAGAATTCTAGCTTCGAAACAATAAAAAAAAATTATATAAAAAGTCTAGTTATAAGAGCTGCAGGTGTCCTAAATAATACTAACTTTAATGAAAACAAATCTTAAAGTCTAGACACACATGAAAATTTACCATGGCAACATTTAATTGATGTTCATATTGTTGTAATAGCTTAGTAATAATCATTTACAGGCTGAGGTCTTGACTGCATTGCTGTAGACTCCAGCAATGTTGATTTTAGAAACATAAAAAAAAGCTTGCATGGTAATTACTAGCTCAATCACATAAAAATTCTGACATGTAATGTCAGGTTTATTGCGACAGATAAGTGTTTGTGACTTGTTGGTGATATATTTGAACAATAAATGGACAGCACACAATCCACTTGTTTTAAAATATTATATTCAACACAAGTCAAGCATATATACAAAAATTCTTTACACTATAGGATATCACAGTTATATCTAAAACTATAGATAATTCTCTTTTCTTGTCAGAAGTCCACACAGGCTGATTCAGTTACTTTAGAACCCAGTTGACAAGACGAATTCTTCTTCTTCTCTATCGCTCTTTCTCAGAATAGAATCAGTGATAAATTCACTTACATTATATTGTGGGTTTCCACGGCTGTATCCAGATTTTTAAAAAATTGTCTCCTTTTTGTCAAAGTCCACACAAGCAGGTTCAATTACTTTAGAACCCCCTTTGACAAGACAGATTTATCTCTGTTATTACAATACCACTGTGAAACTCACTTTAAATATTGCCCATTGTGGCTAAACTCAGAATACACAGTCTGACTTCATTTTCACTAACTTAATATTTTCTGACTTAACTTGCACTCATTTGGTCATATATATTTACATTGCCCAACTGAGGACTAGAACTTTCTATGAACTATGAAATGCTATGATGTAACAATACTCACTTAAGGCAATGAGAAAAATAGAGAAGGTTCAAGTAATGTGACATCAATTTTTGACAATTGAACTACATACGCAACATATGACTCTTACTGAGTTACCTTATGAAATTTGTCATAACTCGCTTTTCAAATAATTAACTTTTAACACTTGTTATGAAAACTAAATAATCATTAAATATTAGATCACTAAATGAACTAAGTAATAATTCTTGCATTAAACAGTCTTGTATGTCCAGCATCTAATGTGTCTTTTTGATAATATATGGTAGTGTAAATGTCTGGATTTTTTTTTTTATTAATTTCTGAAAAAAAATTGAGGTGAGGTCTAGATTACCTGAACCTCACCCATAGATCCACACCTGCTTATATAACATTACTAATTTCTGAACAAAATGGAGGGATTAGTCCCCCCCCCTAGATACCTCCTTTAGATCTGAGCTTGTTTATACAACATTAAATAATATAGTTATAAATTAGAAACATTATATGTAAAAGAACAGGAAATTTACAATTTATTTAACACTTAAGTGGCCAAAAAATTGGAAGTGTGTGCTGCAAACAAGTTGCTTTCCCATTAGTCAGCAGCTCAAAAGTAGTGACAGAGGCAGGTATTCTTAGTAACTAGAGCTCTTCCACCCCCCACCCCCCCAAATCACTAGGCTATGCTCTCCCAACCTTAAACAAACTTGAAGCGAAAAAACGTATAATGCTAAAACTAGGTTGTGACACTTGCAGTGATCAGACCACAGAAAGTGAGACGTATGTCTGAAACAACGTTAAGCAACACAATCTTTACATGTATTATGGAGGGATGTGTTCCTGAAATATTTCTGTCCACTCTTGAATAACTTTTTAAAGAGTGTAACATGGCTTTTTTACTGCACATGTTACAAGGGTTTTAGTGAGTTATATTCAAAATTTAATTAATTTATTTTTTGTTTATGTTATACCAGTTAGTATAGCATAAAATCATAGCTAATAATCCATATTTTAATGGTATATAAAATTAAGAACGTAAAAGTTATATACTATGAAAATATGGATTTTTAACTATGACTTCATGCTATACCAATTGGTATACCATAAAGAAAAAGTAGATTAATTAACTTTTGAATGTAACTCACTAAAACCCTTGTGACATGCAGTAAAGGATACCTGAGCAGAGAGGGTTAACACTTGTAATGAAAGAAGGTGAAATCATTTCAAAAATATTGGTATAACTGGTAAACACTACATCTGGAAAAGTAGTCAACAACATTAGAACGCTCTAGTAATTAAACAAGGCAACACTGTTTGATAGATGGGCATAAAATGGTGAACACTAATAATGAAACGATGCTGAGCAATGCAACGTATAATGGATACTCAGTGCAATAGAGAACACAGGTTTTTTAGTGGTTGTGTTGGTGTGATTTTCAATGTATTTTTCTCATTGGTTTCTTACCATTATTATAAACGTTTTTTTATCAAGTGTTGAAGTTCCTGGGGTAAGTTTTTTATGGCAAAAATGCTGGTAGCTGTTTTATACAGGCATTTGAGGACATGGTTTGAATTTGTAAGTATGGTTTATACATAATCATGGTGAACTGGTTTTGTATTGAGATTTCAGACATTAAAGGAACAATTAAATTTTCTCTGTAACATGTTGTCAAATGATGAAAGTGTCACCCATATTGTATTTCCAAGAAAATACAAACTGTAAGTTGCTATTGATGAAATTTTGAGTTCAGAGTTTCCATGAAATTGTCACTGATTACAGACAAAGTATAAACTAGTGGTCCCTCTTTGCTTACCCTTACTTTTAAGAAAATACCTTATAATTTGATAAACTAATTTTATCATACACTTCATATTTTATTCCTCATTATAATACTTGCAAAATTTTTATGGCTTTTAGTGTTGCATACTCATCAATGATATTGGTGAAATCAATCAGCTTCAAAATGTTGTTCTCAATAGACATTAATGTCAGAGCATTAAGACATTGTTCTTGCATTGTATAACATAACTCTGACTTGTGCTTAAATCAACACTGTTAAGGTTATTCCCATCAAATGTATAATCATATTTCAAATTGTGATACCCCATATGCATTACCTTGCATTAATTATAATTATAAGCCATCTGTCATTTACTTGCCCAACTCATCAAATATCTAAATCCTTTTGTAAGGCAGTAGCATCCTCTTCACAGCCAACAACACCCAAAACTTTATTGTCATTAGCAAATTAAATAAACTATTGACCATTCCTTCATTTATGTCATTAATATAAATCAAAAAGAGCAAAGGTACAGATACTAAGCCTTTATAACGACTCTCTGCTTTCTTCAATTTCAATGTAGCTAGTTTTCTACCCAATGAGCCAACCTATCCTTCACACCTACAAATATAACCTTTTAATAAGTCTCTTATGTAGCACTTTGTCAAATGCTATATGAAAATCCAGATACGTCACATCTACTTGTACCCTCATCTATATAAGATGTAACCATTTCAAGAGATGTTAAAAGATTGGTAAGGCAATATTTTCCCCTAGTGAAACTATGTTGGCTATCCAACAAAATTTTAAACTTTTTTTTATTCCAAATATATTTGAAGAAATCCTTACTTATTTTTTACATTATCAGCAAAATTTTTTCATATAGATTTTTGCTTTCCTAATTTTTCAGTTGATCAACTCTCATGATACTCCCAACAGTCCATCATTGCAGTGAATTTAAAAATTCTTACTATATGCAACAAAATGTCAATTCTAATTGAACAATGATCATTTGCACCCAGATGTTACCCAACCTCTACTCCTATCAGTTATTTCATTATTAGAAGTTAATAAATCTGAAATAGCATTGTTTTTACTAGATTGCTTAACCAATAGTTGAAGAAAACCATCCTGAACAGTTTTCAAAAACCTGTCTCCCACATGATTTGACTCCAGTATTTTCAAATTTGTATGCCTGAAATTAAAATCTATAATTAGAACTTTATTTATAATTGAATTATTTAACTCATTGTAGAGTTACTCATTAATTTCATCAATTTTGTTTGGTGTCTGTAACAAATTCCAACCCGAAGCATTCTCCCCTTATAAATACTAACAGAAACCCAAATATGTTAAACATTATTGATATTAGCTTTGATATCTTCAACTCAAACTGGTTGTATCTCCCATTTTACCTAGAAAGCCACTATTTCTCCTCTTTTTAATACTCTATACCTATTATATAGCCTATAACCCTGTATTTCAAAAAAATTCCTAGCATCAAAATTGTCTACATCTAGCCAGATTTCAGTTATTTCCATTATATCACAATCCTCTGTTCCAACCAGTCCTCTAAAGTTATCTGTTTTATTTCTTATGTTTCTAGTGTTACAATAATAATAGTTTAGCCTACCATTAAAACTACCTCTATATCTTGTTACCATATTATACCTCTCACTGCATCTTATTTTTTCTTCATTACTGTGGGTCGAGACACTGTTTACTTCCTGTTTTAAAGTTAGCCTTGCAGTTGAGTTAATAATCCTTGCAAATAAACCAGTCCCTACACTATTTAAATATAAAAATAAGTTGCAAAATTGAACTGATCCCATAAATCCAACCAGCCAACCTACTCTTCCGTACATATTAACCTAAGCCTAGTATTCTGCCCTAGTGACTTATAATTTCATCCCCACAGTTAAGTCATGGCAGCATCTCTGACAGAATTAAGTTATTATGACCCTCTGATCTACCCTTCCTGCATCAGTAGCCTCTATGTGCACAACAATGATTGTATCACTACTAGCATCCTTTACTATATCACTTGCTCTGTCAGTTATATCCTCCATCCCTGTCTGTGGATAGCATAATTTAACTTTTTTCTCTCTATCTACCCCACAGATTATCTTATCCATGTGCTGTACTAAACAACTTCCTATAACAATAACCTCCTTATGTTTGTCCTTCCCATACCTATCTATACCTTTTGATATCCTTTCCTCCTTATGTTCATCATCTGCACAAGCTAAACACTAAAACCTTTTCTTTATTAAAGTCTGCCTTTTGTAATTAAATGTACTACTACAAGCCCTGTTATTGCTATTTCTAACTTCCGGAAAATCTTAATTAGCCTCTGTATCCATTAAATGCAAATGCTGAATTTACTCTGTAAATCATGCTGCCATTTTCAACAGTTTACTCTTCTCTTTATTTCAAGCTTCTACCCTATTTAGAACATTTTCCCTCCAACCTACAAACTCTAGATACAAATTGTATGTTTCACTTTACTTCTAGCTTCCTTAAATGTGTATTTTAACCCCAAATTCCTAAATAAAACCCACATCTTGGATCCATTGCACTTAACAAAGTGTGAGCACTTAACAGACTTACAATACTCTTAACCATTGTTGTCTGGTAATAAATAATTTTAATCAATTCTGAACATAGGTAGCCTATTGACAACACTATTAAGCCTATTGTTAGAGTTAATCATATTACACTATTTTATCACTACCTTATCTTCTTACTAAACTAATTGAGTTTATCATTAAAATGAGAAGTGACAAATAAATAATTTTAAAAAGATATTTATGTAGTACAATATATTTATTAGATTAAATACTAGTAAACTGTAGATAAATGAACAACAAATTCTTCTACCTTCACTACCAGACTACCAGTGATACAGCTATGACATACAAACAAGTTTCTAATTACATACACTAGATGCTAATTCTGAGATATCATGCCATTGTCCACAGTTATGCTATCTTCCCCACACATCTGTTTTAAAGATTTGCATGCTACTAGCCTTTAGTGAACATCCATGTAATCTCAAGATTTCTCAGGAATTTCACTACTGCACCATTATACAGCAAAAGCTCTCCATCAGTAGGAAAGTGACACATTTCCTTGTTGCATTTATTTACTTCCTCTGTGCATTTGCACTCATGAACTTTCATTCTTTTCCTCAGCATTGAACACATCAGACATGTTTTCTTTTCTTCAATTTAATGAGGCTTGCACAGTTTAAGGAACTTAATTTCTTTCTTTTTTTTTTACCTGTCTTTTCGACAAGGAGTTTTCAGTATCCACCATGGCAGGATATCACATGTCTTTGTCAGCCACTTTCTATTCCACCAGATTTCACTGTGTCTTTACTTCTCTAGTTCTCATCGTTTTGTTTATTTCCATCCAAATTCACCATTGTCTGTGTCCTACCACCCACCCTGTTTAGATCCTTACACTTCCTTCCTTCAATGCCATGTCATCCTGTTTCATATATTATCTCTTGTCAAAGACCCTTTTCCTCCTCCTTTTGATGTGTGGACATTGATGTTCAGGTTTGCTCTCAATGTCTCTTACACATGATATTAGAGGACATATGCCATCCTCTACCTAGATCAATTTTTTCTGCTCAAAATTTGGCTGTACATTATGTATTTGCCTTCGCTCCCATCTTCTTCTCACCTTTATTATTGTTCCAGTCCAGACTGCCTCTTATGTCCGGTGTGGGCTCTCTGCTGTTATGTGGCTCACGCTGTTCCTATTTGTGATTCCTTTTCCCATTTTTTCATTCATTCATACTCTTTCCTTTCCCTTGATACTTCTCCTATTACCCTTATAGGTTGAATTTGTCATCTCAATCACCTGTCTCTTGATGATTGTTGCCTATTCCACTTCTTCGCCCATCAAGTCTATCAACTTACAATGTCCCTGGCTGCTAGATTTCATTGGTCATTAGAGGATATTGTTTGTGCAGGTATGTGGACCAGTTCTCATACACTTAATTCATATTATCTTCATCATCTGGCCATTTCCTGTTCTACAGGTTATTGTCCATCTTGAGCTCTGCAGTTTTCTCTATGAGTGGGTAG